CTGCTGCTGCTGCTGCTGCTGCTGCTGCTGCTGCTGCTGCTGCTGCTGCTGCTGCTGCTGCTGCAGGTTTGCTGCTGCTCAAGCCGTGGTGGACGCGACGTTTGTTCACTGCCAGCAGCCAGAGGCCCTGTGGGGCCGCCTGCTAGCTCACCTGCTGCACCAGCTGCTGTCTGCTGCTGCTGCTGCACAGCAGCAGCAGCAGCAGCAGCAGCAGCAGCAGGAGTGTATTGGTGCAGCAGAACCAGGCTCAGCAGCAGCAGCAGCAACAACAACAACGACAGCAGCAGCACTAGTAGATATTGCTGCTCCCGCAGAGCCCTGTCCTATTAACATATCTACACTCATCAACAGCAAAGCAGCAGTAGCAGCAGCAGCAGCAGCAGCAGCAGCAGCAGCAGCAGCAGCAGCAGCAGCAGCAGCAGCAAGAGTTTAAAGGTGATGCGTCTGTGTCACTTATTATTTATTTGTGGGCACGTTGCTCTGGGGGTTTGTGCTGTTATAGAAAAACTACAAAAAGAGATAAAACAGCTGAGACACATGAAAGCAGCACAGCAGCAGCAGCAGCAGCAGCAGCAGCAGCAGCAGCCGCAGCAGCAGCAGCAGGAGCGGCAGCAGGAGAAAAAGAAGAAAAAACAGAAACAGAAACAGGAAGATGTGCAGCAAGATGAGGACGCTGAGGAGGATATAAACGGCAGCAGCAAACAGCAGCAGCAGCAGCAGCAGGAGCAGCAGCAGCAGCAGGAGGAGGAGTGTGACGAAGCAGCCGATGAGCAGCAGCAGCAGCAGCAGCAGCAGCAGCAGCTCGAGGACAACATGGGTCTCCATACACGAGAAGAAGAAGACATAGAGCTGCTGCAGCAGCTAATAGATAACGAGCTCACGCAGAGGGGCCTCCTGGGGGGCCCCTATAAACGGCTGCTGCTTGCTGCTGCATTTCAACCCCTGCTGCTGCTGCAGCAGCTGCAGCTGCTGCCTCCACAAGACAGCAGCAGCAGCAGCAGCAACAGCAGCAACAGCAGCAGCAGCAGCAGTGACAGCAGCAGCAGTGACAGCAGCAGCAACTTACCTCCTGCTGCTGCTGCTGCTGCTGCTGCTGCTGCTGCTGCTGGTGAGGGTA